TAAATGAAGGAGTGGTGCAAGCGCCTTCACGGAGCAAGAACAGAGGTGACAGGAACAAGGCTGTGCCCATTTGGACAGACATTTTCCCGTCCAACGTTTGTCCTACGGCTCCAGAGTTCCCTGGAGAGCAGGTGTCTCTCTAAGCACCGGCAAGACTGCAAACTGAGACTGGAAAAAGCAGGTTGGGCTTCTTAATTTAGCAGGGAAGGTGGCTAAAGGGGTGGTCCCGTGCACTCCCAACTGTCTGGAGAGAGGGCACCGTTAGGATGCTAACTGGGCGGCCACAGCCGTCGCCTGTGCTGCTCCCCTCATTCGAAGGCACGGAGGTCACGGTCCCGGAGCCGCTCCCCACACGCACAGCCGGTCCTTGTGGGCTCACTCTTCATCGCTCAGCTTTCCAGCATGCACAGGAGCGGATCCGGGGCCTCTCAGCTGCGGCTCAGCCCTCCCCTGTACCGACGCTCCTCTTCCGGGTTCTGCGCAGGACTCACATCGCCTCCTTGGCAGTGTTTCTTCTCCCGGTTTTCTCTCCTTTGCTTTACTGTGTGTCGCACCGCACAGCCACAAAGAGGCACTGCAGGAGAGCAGAACCGCAACAGTGAAGGCGCTTGGCTTGCTGCATTGGCCAGAGAATGCCTCGCTTTCCTCCTATCGGAAATGGCACAGAATTGGTTGCCAAGCCTGGAGGGAACCTGGAGGAGGAGGAGGAGGAGAGGAGGTGCTGGTGCTCATGGAAAGCACCCACAAAGTGCCACGAGCGCACGGCACCAGCCTCACGTGGGTGCAGACCTTCCTTCCGTCAGATGGGGTTTGCGCAAGCACCCCAGACGGGGCTGGTGCAAGCTGCTTGGGGCCGGCGCGGGTTGGCTACTCAGTTCGAACCTCGGAGGCCCGAGCGCCCCCTCTGTCAGCTCAGCCCCATACGCAGAGCTGGGAGCGCTCAGCAGAACACCGTGTTCCTTGCGGCAGGAAGAGTCCACCCTCCACAAGGCTTCCCCCACCAGGGAGTTTCTTTCTCCGTGTCCAATATGTCAATTGTACACCACAAAGTACAGCTGCACAATTGCGCAACTGCTGGGAAACACACAGTCCCTTGGCAGCGCTTCCTAGAACAATGGGAACTTTCCTCACGCTAAAAGAAGAGGCAAAATGGCTGGAAGTTGTAGGAGAAGCCGAGGAGGAGGAGGAGGAGGAACGGTGCCCACAAACGTGTCCCTTGAGCGACAGATCACCAGTGCACAACGAAAGCCGCGCGTGGACACAGTGAAAGAGTCGCCCCATGGACGTCCCCAGCCTCTCATCACAGAACTCCTGCTGCCGGCGGCTCGTTTTACGTCTCACTGTTTTTCTTGCTCTGCATTTTACCGCTTTTTGTAGGCAGCCTTGAGCAGGCGCGATGCTCTGCTCGTGGGCCTGTCTCTCTGCAGGAAGGGCGCTCGGACGCTCCGCACATGGGCATGCGTGCGCACGTCTCAGCATGGAGCCTCCTGTGGGCCTCAGCCAGCTTGCCAGCACGGAAGCATAAGCTGGGAGGAAAGGACGGGAAGGACGACCCATTCTGGAGCAGGCCCCAGACAACACGACCATCTTCCGGATGCCTGTAGAAGCACATCCAAGAGAGGCTCTCCTTCATTTCTGGGGATGCCTGGGATGGGGCGGGAAGCAGCAGGCAGCCTGGTGGCCTTCCGCCTGTCCGAACCTGGCATCCCGTTGCAAAACAATCGTGCATTAGAACTGCCCCTGGTCCCCCGCCCCCACGGCAGGGCAGTGCAGGGAGCCAGGGAAACATGGCATTCCGGCTGCACGGATCTTGGTCTGTTTGAGGGAGAAGCCCTCTAAAAGGCGCTACAGAACACGCGGTTGCTCTTTGGAGGGCGAGAAGGGGCAGAAGCCGACATTAGCTCATGCCGTAGCATCCTTTGCGTGAGGTTAAGTCCACGGACATCTCTGAGACAGCCACACGTGCCTGTTTCTGTTCCAGACAAAAGAGAGCCATCCTTGTCCTTGTGAGCAACTCAACAACAGCTGCTGCTGCTGCTGCTGCTGCTGCTGCTGCTGCTGCTGCTTCTTCTAGCAAATTGCATGCACGATTACAGACACTCTTGCAACAGCCCGGGAAAGTTGGCTGAGGAGGCTATCCCCACGCTGGAGGTGGAGGTGCCCAGATGGGCAGATGGGGGCAGCCAGTTTGCAACAGAGATTTGCGGCGGCCACATCCTCCAAAGCCATTTTCGAAATGCTTCTGTAAATTCTTTAGAACTGGCTGCATAACAAGGAAATCAGCCAGCCTGCTTTGCATGGAGACCTAAATTGAGGTCAGGCTTTAATGCTTTTTACAGCATTCGCTTTGCAGTAACTTTTGGATCAGACCTATTCCGCAAACAGTGTTTAAGAGGTGGCCATTAATGGCAGATGCAACCAGCTACTTCTCCTTTCGTGCTTCCGGCCTGTGGCTGGCATCGCTCTTCATCTCTGCCCAAGCTTCAGTGACACAACTAAGCACTTACATTCTGGCAAGCTTTTGACACATGGCCAGAGGGTGAAGCTGCTTTGGAGCCTCGGGTGTCATTAGTTTTATTATTAGACAAGGAAGGAAGGAAGGTAATAGAGCGTTTTGCACTGGCCATCTGTTTTGCACTTTTAGATATTTAATATTCTCTGAGAACTGGACTTCAATTGTATTATATGCTGTTTTCAGCATTTGGAAACCTCTCGGAGAACTTTCAGGTTATGGGGTGGCATAGAAGTGGAATGAAATAAAGAAATGACTGAGTAAAATTCTTCCAGGGAAGCAGGGCAGATTATGCATTTTAATAAACACAGAAATGCAAGAGTGTTGATTTCAGTTTGGGGAAAAACTTTCAATTTACAGTCTGACTCACCCGAACCTATTTATGTATGTATTTATTTATTCATTCAATTTCTATGCCCCCCTCAGAGGACCAGGGCCAAAGGGGCTTGCACTAATTAAAAACATGGACCAGAGGAATCTGCTCTCGAAGAGCTACTTACACACGGGTAAGTATGAGCAGGACTGCACTCAATTCAGCCCTGCCCTCATATTCCGTGCCTGAGCCCTTTTCCTTCGAAAAAGAGGACAGCTGGGAAAAGACCCGACTCCACACAGTTCACACTTGTCAAGAGTGAAAAACCTTATTTTCCCAACATGTTAAGGTTTAATTGCTATTTAATTGGGGGTTCATATGCTGTGCTTTCTACTGTAGGATGGTCCCAAGACTTTCTGTGATAGGACGGGATCGAAAAGCTTTAAGCCTTTAAACAATGCCAGTTTCTAGAGCCCACTGTGGCGGGTAGTGTCTGTGCCAGCCCCTTTGTCTCAGTTGTGTTACCTGAAACACACTCTCTCGCAACACTTAGGCTAACCACTTAGCCAGAAATCTGCAGCCGCCTTGCACTCCCTGTCCAGGAGGGAGCGGGGAGGTATGGAGACCCCTGTGTGAACTCCTGGGACAGGACGACTGGATGTCAAAGCGGGCAAATGAGAAGCATCTTTGGAGCCTGGGCCCGGCTGGAATCCGGGTGAAGCCTCAGCAAAAGTAGCAAATTGCATTATAAATTACTAGTAGGTGAGAAACATAGAGGGGTGTGAATAATTCAGAGATAATCAACAGACACATGAGAAGGGGGAGTCTCTGGATAAATACAGAGTTTTCTGTAAACTAACAAACAGAAAAAGGATAATGGGGAAATGAATTTACTTTGTATCCGGACAACATGTTATGATGCAGGGTATATAATGCATGTTCTCTGTGCCTCTTTTGAGACTCTGATTTGGGAAGCATCTCCCCTTTGTCTGTGTTTATTCTAGAGTGCACCAGAATAAAACTGCTATTAGCTCTAAGTCTCGTCGCGGGCTCTGCTTGGCTCTGGGTCTGGGGTCCACCCGGGGTTCGCCCCAGCTGTTAACTGGCTCAGTCCGGTAACAATTGCATGAAGTGTGGGGCAGGGATCACTTAAGCAGTTTGCTGGGGGCACATTAGGACAAGACAAAGGGGACCTAAGGCCAAGAGAAGGCACTCCAGGAGGCACGGCCAGGAACGCACCTCCAACGGACGGACAGGCTTTTCTGGACAGATGGGCAGCAAGGCCTGCCCCACGGGCTGCTCGCCAGATCAGGACTGCCATCTGAAGTCCACAAGCTGCCCTTGCGGTGCCGGCCTTTCAGCAGCCACGTCAGGGCTGCGCGTTTGCACATTTTGTCCTGACACCCCTGGTCCTCAGCTGGTATGCCAGGGCTTAAAATCCGGCTGCGGACCAGCCTCCAGTGGGTATCTAATTCCACTCCTTCTTCCCAGAGGGTATAGGCAGGAGGAGGAGGAGGCAGGAAATGGGTGGTGGGCGAGTAGGAAAATGCACCTATGGGGCGTGGAAAGGGAAACCCGCAGGGGGCAAGGCTGATCTTGCTGGCCCCTGAAAGGTGAAAATCGCTGGGCTGAATAAGTGACAGCAGGATCCTCCCCAGGTCTACTCCAAAAAAGGGCTCCCAGGTAAGCGAGTGCAAGATCGGAGCCTGCGTTTTGGGAGCAGGAGGGTTACACGTGTCTTCAGCATGCACACGTGAGGGTGACGCGGGGTAGTAACGCCTGACTTGACGCGGCCGACACGTGAGGCTGCCGGCTAAGCCCCGCCCCCTCTTAGCCACACCCTCCCGTTGAGCGACGTGCCAGCGGCGAGCAGGAGGGGAGCCGCGAGGGCGAACGCTCGCTCCTGATTGGCTCGAGGCCAGGCTGAAATAAATCCACAACTCGAGGTCGCTCTTGGGTGAGGAAACAAAACAAGCGCAGGCCGCCGCCGCTCCTGATTGGCTGGGAGCGCGCTCGGAGGAATGCAAAGGGAGGGGCCGCAAGAGGCGGTGGCTGATTGGGCGGTCGCCCCCGCCGCTCGCCCAATAGCGGGAGAGAGGGCGGAGCCCTTTTCCCAGCTCGGCCGCGTCACGAAACCCCGCACTCGCTGTGCGCCTGCGCGGTTCCCGGAAGCGCGACCCGCCGTCTCCCTCCGCCAGTGCCAACTCCCTGCGAACGCTGCCGGCGCGAGCGTTGCGCGGGGCTGCGGCTGCCGCGTGCGGGGAGGGGGCAGAAACGCCTCCTGGTGCGCCTGCGCGGGCGCGCCCGGTGAGTCCTGGGCTGGCTGGCGGGCGGGCGGGGCTCCGGGGGCGCGCGCGGCTTCCCGGGGGGGGGGCAGTTCGCCCGTGACCTCACCTTTCGTGTAATGTAAATCATTGCTCACACCGCTGCGACGTGTGCAGAGACACGTGTCTGGGGTGCGTGCGCGCGCCATGCACGTGTGTTCAGCGAGCCATTGCGAGCCGCGCCTCGGGCGCCGGGCTCCTCGTTCCGCCCGGCGCTCGGGGCGGCCAGGGAAGCCCGGGCCGGCTCGGCTCGGCGGGGTCTCGACGCCCCGCTGCCCGTGGCGCCTCGCGGGGGCCCCGGCGGGCGGCGCGGCTCTGCCTGGAAGGGCCGCTCGGGGGCAGCCGGGCTCGGGCGGGCAGGTCACGTCGGGAAGCTCAGGTTGGGCGGGACGCGTCGGACGCGCCCTCGGCCGCCTCCCCTTCGCCTGCCGGGCGGCGGGCCTCGTCCCTCGTCCCGGCCAAGGCGGGCCGGGGCGCCTCGTTCCCCGCGGGAGCCGCCGCCGCCGCCGGGTTTCGCCCGCATCCCGCCCAGGCACCTGGCTCGGCCGGGACGGACTTGGAGGAGGGCCGGGCCGGCGCCCCTGCTCGGTGGAGCTGGCCTGAGCGGCAGCCCCGGGACAGGGCGCTTGCTGCCTTTGCTCTTAGGTGCGCGCAGGCAAGCGGGGCTGATCCTCGCTTGAAGATGCCTTTTCATGTTCTAGGATGCAACCATGAACCCGAGTATGGACGTCAAAAAGCCTTTGCGTGCCAGGAAAACGATGACTCCCAGCAGCCGAAAGCAGGTGGAAATGCTGGGCAAGATGAAGTGCACCCAGGGAGCGGAGAAGCCCTCGAATGGCGCCTCCAGTGAGGGTCATGATTTTCCTCTAAAAAGGGTTGAAACACGCTGCTTGTTCCCAACGTCGGTGAAACAGCTTGACTTAAAACAAACGCAACTGGTTCCGCAGATGCTCAAAGAGCCAGTAGCTAATTTACTCGTCAATTCCAAAATCAGCATTTATAATGACCGCCAGGAACTATCCAAAGATCTGACGTACAACCCCTGCGGTACTGACTCTGACGTCAAACAGTTTTTGAATGCTGGCGCTTTACAGGATATTTTGTACAGTTGGTATGAGAAAGAATCCGGCTCCCCTTTGTTTAAGCCTGTGGAAGTACACTTGAATTCCAGACCAGAGAGCCAGCCGGCAGAGCCTCCGCAAGGACCGTTTTCACGGGCCTCTCCCAAAGCCGCAGTCCCTGCTGTAGCTAAAGCGATGGAAGAAGCTCTTGTAGACCAAAGTACTCCAGAACTGGAAAGGGAAGGTGCTACCATCCAGCGGCATAAGAAAACCGTTATTCCTTCAGTCCAGCCAGGTATTTTATTATTTATTTTATTTATTTAGTGAGCTTCTATGCCGCCCCATTCACCGAAGCCTCAGGGCGGCTCACAACAATAAATAAATACATATTGAACATATAAAATCAATATAATTGGAGACGTCCTGGCCGAAGATATAAAATCAATACATAAACTGACAATTAAAATGATGTTTAAATAAAAAGGTAAACACACACATCTTTAAAAGAAATAAATGTTCCCAGGTCCCTTTCTCAGAATCTTGGGGAGAAACTAACCCCGCGAAACTCACCCGTTTTTGCACTATAGCACCTTTTGTGCCCTGAAGTTTGAGGAGTATTCTGACGAGGCTTTGGATGCAACTAAGGGAATGCCGTCGGGAAGGAGGGCCCAGACTTTTCCAGCTTTTACCCAGGGGCCCTCTGCAACCCAGCTTCCCGTAGCGGGACTGACCCAGGCATCACAGGGGGCCCTGCCGCTGAGCCGCCTGGCTCTGAACCCAGGATGATTGCGGCCCCAGTATTGTGCTGGTCGGGAGGCCTGGCCCAGCCTGCCTGCCTGCAGCAGAGGAGCCGAGAACAGTGTGGTGTAGTGGTTAAGAGCGTGGGACTGGGACTCAGAGGATCTGGGTTCAAGTCCCCACTCAGCCATGGGTGACTTTGGGCCAGTCACGAACTCTCAGCCCAACCCGCCTCACAGGGTGGTTGGTGTGGGGATAAGATGGAGGAGGAGAGATGATGTCAGCTGCCTTGAGCCCTTTGTAGGAAAAGGGCAGGATATCAATCGCAATATATATAAATATAAATATAAAAACAGGGAGCGTAACTGGCACCACCAGATGAAGAATGCCCGGGAACCCGGGCAACTGGGGATGTCGCCCAGGGTCAGGAAGAGCAAGAAGGGAGCAGGGTGTTGACTGGCCTCCCCCTGGCCGGCTGACGGACGGCCTCCTGGGAACCTAGCTCATCCATGTCTCGGCTGAATCCTCTCTGCGCTTCGGTTTCGGTAATTGAGCTGTGGGACAGCCTCTGCTGCTGGAAGGGCTTTTGCGCAGTGGCTTTCTCCAGTCGCGAAGGGACCCCCCGCTGTGTGTGGGGGTGGCTGGGGCTACACACTATTTCCCAGCTAGGCTGGCTCTGTGTAACCTGATCCAGGGAGATAAGGGCCTGGCTTGGCTGAGGGGTCGGGCCTCCGGTGGCTCGGGTGGGCAGCCTGGGAGAGCCCTCGCCTCCCGCTTCTGCGTTTCTGCTCCTCAGATAGCATGGCAAGGGGGAGGCTGAGGGGAGGGGGCCCACTCCCCCCCTCTTCTGCCGCACAGCTCAGCCGTGCCTCCGTGGTGGCGGCCCGTGCCTGTCAGAAGCTTAGGACCGTGGGCACGCGTGACCTTTCCTGAACCCTCCAGCGGGGAGTTGTCGGTTCCGTGCAGGGAGCACAGCAGGGCCCCGTGGCTTCCCAGAGACGGACACGTTTCTTCCATCGTGAACTCTCAGGGGCTCTTGGCCAGTTCAGTTCCTCGGTGCCTGGACCACCGAACCTGTTTCTGGACGCAGTTAACGTCAGCACTGCGCAGAGAGCCCGCCGTCCGAGTGTCGTCATTGTAACTTTTACTTCACCCACTGCCCCTCCCTTCCAGCTGCAGTGCAAGGCGTTGGCTTAACCGCGTCCCATTCGTTGCGGTTGTGCTGTGTGGGGTTCTAGCTCTCACAGGATAGCACGATCCCGGACTGTGGTTCTGTGGTGGGGACCAGGCTCAGCCTCGCTCGGAATCTGAGGATCCTCGGGAAGGCGTGAGACCACCTGGGCCAAGCGGAAGGTGCCCACGGGCTCCCACCTTGCCCCTCGCAAGCAGCTTCGTCCCCACAGCAAAAGCAGCCCTTCTCTACAGAAAGGGGAAGGCGGCACCGATGGTGTGATTTCTGCCGCTGTTCTGAAACGAGCTGCAGGCCGGAAGGCCTTGGCGTGCCTTTGGGACAGGTGCTGCCATGTAGTTCGTTTAAGCAAGCGGAGGACCGAAATGCGTGCGTTCGGACCCTTGACTTGTCCGTGTCCTGGTCTCGAGGACCCGGTGTTCTTTCCCGTGGGAGCTAGCAGCATGCAGCCCCCGAAAGGTTTGGTGCTCTCGTGTAATGTCAGATCATTGCAGGAGGGGAGGCAGAGGGTGTGTGTTCACTTTGGTTAAACGTGATGCTAAGACCGCTCAAAACCGCCTCAGAAGCTGGAGGGAAAACTTGATTCTGGTACTGATAACAGCTCCACTAACAGACGCTGCCGATGCAAAACCCCTCGCCAAAATGTCTTTTTTTCTCTTGTCAAAGATTATGCTCGAGGGAAAAGGAGACACTCAGAAAGCAGTGAAGATGCCTTTTGTAAGCACATCAAAACATCTGATGACGCTAGAGAAGCCTGTGACGCAAGCTCTGGCCAGAAGCAGCATGGCTTGGAAAAGGTAAGCCACGTTGATTTTTTCCCCCTTTATACAAGGTTTGCTTTTCAGTACATCATTGTGGTCGTGCAAAAAGGCCGTGTGGCGTCCCTGCTGCAGCTGCACTCGGTGGCAGCCATAAAAGGGAATTAAAGCGGGACTGGATGGGGCTTGTGGTGAGCTGATCCCAGGCTGGCCAGGCACGGATTAAACTGTTCTGTAGTGTGAGGTGCTCGTTTCAGTTTGGCATAACCACTGCTGTTTTTGTCTTGATAGCCTGCTTCAAGCCCTCCTGGGGCTGGAAAAGTCTTAAGGTAATGCTGCATGTTGCAGTGCTGTTGCTATTGAACTGGGGGGCATGAGTCTCCAGACGGACCCTCGGTGTGACCACCCTCTCTGGGTCTTCCTGTTCTACTTGTGGGCATGGCCCACTGCCTGACTTTCTGGCCCACTGGAGCCAGAGGTTCCGCAGTTAGACTGTCGTGGCCTTCTGCTGGCTGGACTGGGAGCTCACGAGAACGTGGATCGGCTGTGAAGGAAGGAAGAGCGACCCTGAAGGGCCGCCCCTGCTGCTTTGCTGCTGCTGCTGCTGCTTTGGCATGTGCTTAACCAAGTGGTCCAGGGAAGCTTGCTGCCACGATGGGTTGGCGTCCTGAAGCGCTACAGGACGTGTGCTTGCTGCGACGGCGCGCACGGCCACCCCTTGGGAAGGTGTGCATGGCACAGAGAGCGCCGGTTAGGCGTGTCTCCACACCCTCTGCCAAAATTCCCCAGAAGAGAGAATTTGCAGCGCTGCCAGATCTGCCAGAGCAGCTGCTATGAGCCGCACTGGGAGGGCGCCGATCCTTCCCTCCCAGCCTGCTCTGGATTCTCGCGCTTGTCTCCGCGTAGGGAGCTCATTCGTCACGGGTGGAGCTGCCACAGAAGGGAGAGGAGAGGCCGGCTGCTTGTGCGGGGGTCCTTTACTGTCCCCCCAGAGTTGCTTTTAGCGCCTGCAATGAGCTGCACGGGCTCAGTGCAGCTTGGGGCGATTTCAGCCACGGATCCTCATGCCGCTTCCAAACTGGGGTTCCACGTGGCATGGGGCAGGCCTCCCCCTCAAGAAGCACGAGCTCACGTGGGCTTCAGGGCTGTTTGGGGTTTCGTGTCTGGTCGTTGCGAACTTGCGCTGAAGGCGCCGTGGAGCGTAGCGGGGAGGGTGGGGAGGGCTTTGATCCCACCGTCGAGAGCAGCAGGAAGAGAGGCCGCATTGCATGTTCACACTGTGGTGCGCTTGCGAGCAAAACTGTGAGTACCAAAGTCATGAAGGATGTGGAATGACGAGGGAAACGGAAGAGCCCAGAGGCCTGGTGTGTCTCGGCCCTAGAGGCCCTGCGTCACGTTTCGCTGATGAGCTCAAACTGAGGATGCCGCATTTCCCTCTGCCAAGCGCCACCGCCTTGTATAAATTGCCGTGAATTTCTCGCTTTTCAGGTATGCATGGTTGTGTGTCTTCCTTGTTTTAGGTCAAGAGTTTTATTCAGAGCCAGATGGCTACCTCGATGGAAGGCCTAGATCATCACCTCCGACGTTTACGTGAAAGTATTGATCGCACACAATGCCTGCGAAAGCACGAAGACATAGCTATTAAAATTGTAGTAAGACAGCGCTCCCTTTACAGCTTCGCCTGCCATTTATCATGCAGTGGCGTATTGCACACCAGGCCCCCAGGAGCGTGTCTCTGGGTCAGCACGCTTCAACGCAGCCGGATCGCTCTCCCTGAGAGCTGCACTGCCCGGCAGTGGGGGGGGGGGGGGGAGCAGGCAAGGCCCACATGGCAGCGGGGGGGCCTTCCCGGCAGCCCCACAGCCGTCTGGCTAGCCCTCAGGGCCTCGTTCCACCATGGCCTGTGACACTCTCATTTAGGGTGTGGGTGTGGATGAGGGCAGTCAGGTTCGGGGGGGGGGTCCTGCCTCATGTGCGAGCTGCCCTTAAAGACCATCTGGGTGCCCCCACTGGGTCCGTTTGGCAGGCCAGCCACTGGCACTCGGCTTACTACTGGCCGGCTGCCTGGCTGCCCGATGGAGTAGAAAGCTGGGTATGGGCTTAGAGCAGCTTGCTTCAAACAGCTGCATGTATGTGAGCCCCCCCCCCCCCTTTGGAGCGCTGTCCCAGCACAGGTCTCCAAGTGCCACTGCCCTTAGAGCAGGGTAGTAACTGAGCTGCAGGGCCTTCTCCAGGGTGGCCCCTTTCCCAAACGTCACCCCTCCCCCGTTCAGAAGCCCCCATTCTCTTTCTTTCCCTGCAGAAAAGGATCTCCAGGCTCGACCGACGCATTAACACCGTGATCGCGTTCCAGAAGACTGAATTGTCCAGAAAGGTAAGCGCTCCTGCGCTGCAGCGCTCAGTGCAGGCAAAGCCCAGGCAGCCGTCTCTGGCGCCCCGGGAGCTCCATGGCTGACTGGGGACTAGAACCCAGACTTCCTGAGCACCTGCCTCACACGGCTTCTGGGTGCTGCGCTTCAAGAGGGGAGGTCAGCTAAATGTAACGGGTTCAGGGCAGGGCAGGAGTGCAGGAAACGCAGCCTGTGCGGACAGGTTGAGGGAGCCGGCCGTGTTTGGCCTTGAGAAAAGCTACGCGTGGCGGGGCTGCAGTGGGTGCCAAGGGGCTTGCCTGGCACATCGATTCCTGCTTGCCGCTGGAGGGGAGCTAGGAAAGCTCAGCTGAGGGGCGAGAGGAGGCGCCGATCGCCCCGGCTGAGGGGCCCTCCTGCCAGTGGAAAGCAGGCGTGGGCACGGCGGGGTCTGCTGGCGTCACTCACGGCAGGCTGTGAGTCGACTCCAGGCGTGACCGCTTCCGTCTTCCTCCGCAGGCCAGCCGTCCGGGAGCCAGCGTGCCGGACGAGACGCCAAGCTGCAGTGCGCCGCCTCCTGGCAAGGCGGACGGCAAGGCGGTGCCGTCGAATCCCAGCAGCGCCAAGGGGTGAGTGGCAAGCAGCGGTGGCCGCCTTCTCCAGCACCGCCTCTTGGGGGCGCCCCTTGCCCCCCCCCCCCCCCCCCCCCGCACATGCCGGACCTGAGAACACACACCTGCCGAAAAGACAGGAGCTACTTAACCGGAAACGCTCCCCTGTTAAGAGCTAAAACTCTTTGGAAGTCTGTCTGAAGACTCTTGTGTGTTACGGACACTGGTTACATTTTGCAGGTAGCCTGTAGTGCAGGTTTAATATGGATGCAGACCTTTTAATTATCATTGCTCAAACAAAACCAAAATCAAATGCACCGTTAAGCCATCTTGGGGGTGAAGTGGCTTAACCAGCCCTGGCAGCCCTGATCTGATAGCATTTGGCAAAGTCTCACGTTCGTATCACCGGGGTTTTGTAACCTACAATGTTAGTGCATTGTGCAAATTAGAGGGAATTTGTGGGTGGTATGGCAGTGCCGTTTGTCGAAAATGAATTCGTGGGAAGGAAAGCTTTGTTCTTTATAAGACAAGACTTAGGTTATCTTTAAGGGGAAGAGATCAGACTGCTTTATATGTCCACACAATTAATCACTCCTCTTTCATCACTGTGGCTCTTCAAGCAGCTCTGATGACGTTGTTTGCGTTGACCTGATGAACAAGAACTCAGGTGTGGAAGCTGTGAACGCCGCAGGTACAGAGAACGAAGCTTTCTACGTTTCGAAATGGGCACTTCGGCAGCCCCCGGGTGGGCTTCCCCCTCCCTCTTCTGGTCAGCTTCCCGCTCCGCTCGGTGCTCCCTTGGGCGGCTCAGACATACCAGCAGATGGAGGAATCCTGCCCCTACTAAGTTTAAAAGCTACATCTGTAGTTTTCTGAGGCTGGGGAAAGCGGCCCCCTGCTGGTCTGCTTTGAAGCACGGGGGCAGGAAAGGGGTTCACATTCCGCCAGGCAGAACTTCGGGGCGCCGGTGGGAGCACCGAGGGGCGCAGCAGGCCGGGGTGAGCCCAGTAGCCCATGGAGCCCGAGGCGCGTGCCCCGTGAGCACTGCGGAGTGAGAATGGCCGCACCCGGCCACTGGGGGGACGCTGCCAGACACTGGCCCGGACCTCACAGCCTGGAGGCGGGCGGCCTGGCCTGAGCAGACGCTGCCCGGCCATCCCGAGGGGAGCTGGGCTCCTCCTCCCCTCCCTTGCTCAGCGGAAGGAAGGTGGGAGCGGGGCCGGGGGCTTGGGAAGGGCCGGGCCCAGTGGCACAGCGCTCCTTCCATTTCATGGGCACCTGCCATTTTTCCTCCTGCAAGGAAATCGCGGGGGCTCGCGGGGGGTTGTGCTGGTCGCCAGACCGCCCGTTGTCCTTCTGTCTCCCATCGTCTCAGCTGTTCTTTCACCATAAATCTGTTGATGAAAGCCGCTCCTGCCGGTCCGACGAGTCGCACGGTTTCAGAGCCCCACTTCTGTCCAATTTCCTTAGGTGTCCAGCGGAAGGGATCGTCCGCAGATGCCAGCACCGTGGCCAAAACCTCGGGCAGTTCTAAGGTCAGGTTTCAAACAGTTTCCCCCTCCTCGTTCCTCTCCTCCAGCCTGATCCAAGCATGAGTAGCTTTTCCCTGTTCCCTCATGGCAGTGCTTGAAGCATCGGTGGCTGTGAATTCTTCCAATTTTATTTGGTGTGATAAAGAGAGCCCACGGGGGGTGCAGTTCATGGTGTCTTGGCTGGGTGCGTTTGTGTCCTGCATGACCGGAGGCTCCCAGATGTGAAGGTCTGCCTCTTCAGCTAAGGGGGGAGGCGTGGGGGCTTTTTCACCCATCAGGCAGAGGCGCTGTGGAGAGGGAGTGACCGCCCCCCACCCAGCACCCCTTTTCCTCCTCTCTGCAGCTGCTTTTCCCGTCTCGGAGAGGAGCAGGCGCGGTTCTTTCCATGCAGGCCACACGGGGGAGAGGGGGCAAATCCCCAGCTCCCCACGGCCTCTGACCTTGGGCGGGGTCTCCCCCAGAGCCTGTGGCCCCTGGACAGTCCCAAAGTGCCAGGTTTGGGCCGGGAGGGGCGATCCCAGGTGCCTGTCCTGAGGCTGGAGCACTCTTCTCACACAGGAGGTGGCAGTTAGAGCGTTAAATCTTTTGTTCTGAGAAACTTGAAAGCTACGCAAACAACAAATGACAAAGGAACTTGCAGTGCTGGTGTTAATGGTGACTGTCCCCTCTTTCTGAGGGCGATCAGATCTGGGACGCCCCTCCCTGGGCCGGTCAGACAGGCTTCTCTCCCTCCTCCTCTCCCTTTCCCTCGACCCAGTTTTCCCAGACGGCGGGCGGGCTCCTCCTGCCTCGAGCAGAAGCGACACTTTTCCCAGGGTCTTTATCTCCGTCTCGTCCTGCCATTTCCACGGTCACCTGCTCTCCTCCCTCTCATTCCATTATCAGCTGCTGCTGAAGAGCTGCCTGAAAAACTCCCAGAAAAACTTCCATCAGAGCCAGAGAGCGGGGTGGAAGGGGGGGGTGTTTGTACAGTGGGCACCAGGTCGAACTCTTCCTGCTCTGGGGCCTGATCCTCACAGGGAGCCCCCGCCCCCTCACGCTCGCCAGCGGCTCCTCTGAGTCGTCGCACACGACCGTGCCTTTTCGTGAGCATTTCCAGTAGAACAGCAGCCACGTTATTGAGTAGGTAACACACGTAAAACTGAATGAGCAGAGTCTCCAGGTCCTCAACCTTGACCGCCTTTGATTAGGAACTAAAAGTATTCGGGGAATTGCTCCTTTGTTAAAATTCTTTGCTAATTGCAGGACCTGTTCCTGATCGATTTAACTGACGAAGAAAGCAGTGCTGGTCAAGGTGAGCTTTTTTCCCCCCTAAAAGCCTCTGTGTGAATGTTTCTTGACTTGCTATAGAAGAATCCTAAGCTGCGTTTCCACACGCGGGGCCCAAGAGAGTGCGAAAGAAGGGAGGCGGAGCAGGTGGTGCTGCACGGAGCGAAGCGCGAGGCCACCCGGGGCCTGGCACGCCGTTTAACATGCTCTTTTGGTGTGTTTTGCATGAGCTGGCAAAGAGAAGGAGAAGCAGGTCGCGGTGCGCAGACGCTGGGCAGCAGAGCCCGCCACGCCGGTTCCTCCCCCGCCCCCGAGGGAGGGAGCAAATGAGGTAACGTCTCAGCTCGAGTGGCGGAAGCTCCTTTTTCCCGGCACGGCGGTCCAGGGGTGCTTGCCGACCCCTCGGCCGAGCCAGGGAGTCCCTGGTGTGGCGGCCCAGCCACCGCTCAGATGGACGGAGAAAACTGAGACGCGCGGTCCCAGGAGTAGCCAGCTGGCGCGGAGGCTGGGTCGCTCGCCTGCCCGCCGTCCATCTCGCAGTATCCCCAGCCGTGCTCCTGCGGCTGCCGCACTTCCGTCCCGGCCTGTGGCTCTTCCACCGTCCCCGGCGAGCACGGCCCGCTGGACGCGGGAGGACTGCTGCCTGCCCGCCTGCCTCTTGAGGGCCCCCCGCCCCCGCCTGGCTCACGGCCTCCGGCTTCTGCCTCTCCAGGTCCTGAAGGACTTTTCCCACCTCCCTCCGCTACCCAAGGTCCGCGTGTGCCCGGAGCACATGAGCGAATTCCAGAACACCCTGCCGCCCCAGCAGCTCGAGCTGGCGGTCGCCCAGGTCCAGAACCCCAAAGGCATCGCCCTCCAGTGGAACGTCCGCAAAGAGGACCCGCGCTGTGCGCCCATCGAGAGCTTCCACCTGTTCATCTGCCTGGAGGGGCCCAAGACAGGCGCGCCCTCCGCCTGGATGGAGACGAACAAGATCAAGGCCCTGCCGCTGCCCATGGCCTGCTCCCTCTCCCAGTTCCCAGGCTCCGCCAGGTGCTACTTCGTCATGCAGTCCAGGGACATTTACGGGCGCTACGGGCCCTTCTGTGACATCCAGGCCATTTCGCCAGTATAGTCCCTGCAGGGGGGCAGGCCCCTCCTCGGGGCGACGGGCCCCGTGTTCCGCTCCGCCCGCTGCTCTGTGGCACCGTTTGCACACTTCTGTTCGTTGTAAAAATTCTGTTTTGCGTTCTGGATCGACTGCCTTCCTCTCCTGAAAGGAGAGCGTTACGAGCGAGAGATTCTCGGGGAGGCGACAGCTTTCGTTAAATCTGACATTTCTTAACGTTCCTCATAACCAAGAGGGAAGGTGAAATAATCTTTGCCTATATTGAAAGTATAATGGTTCCTTCAGTATGGATATTTTCAGTGGAGCAGTATTTGAGTTTTGAAAGCCGAAATTATTGAGGGGTATGTTTCTAAACCCCCCCCCCCCCCCCCCCCAAAATGGATTCAAACGAGTGGCACATGCTCACAGCGTTCCAATCCTGGCTGAGTTCTACGGGAACGTGCCCCGTTCCTGCTCGGAGGGCCGATAGGCAGCACAAAGGATGGCGTTCTTGTATGTGCGGATCCTGCTGTAGCTTTTCTGGAAAAGAGCGGCTTTGCTGTGTCTCCCAAGGTGAGTGAGGAATCCTCCGAAACCAGTAAACGGGCAGGTGTGTCCCAGCGCGCTCTGCTGGCACCGGCCAGGAAAAAGGCAGAGCAGGCCCCTCGGCACACCCGGAAGGAGTCCGGGCAAGGCCCAGCAGCGTGTGTGCCGAGGCAGAAGAGGGTCCCGCCCTCCCCCCCCCGAGCTGCCCCAACGCTCCTCGGATCGTGTCTTGCGCATGTTTCTTTGGCGGCTGCTTCCCTCCCCACCGGGCAAGTGCGTTCTAGAAAAGGTTAAAGATCGGGCTATCTTTCCTGTGGCGTGGCACTGCATCGTTCCCCCACACACACACACAGGTGGGGAGACATGATTTTCCCACCGTGATGTGCATAGGCGGGGGGGGGGGCATGCAGGCCTCACGGTGCTCACCCAGAGGTGAGAGATGAGCTTGCCCTGTTGCCTCAAAGGAGCACCTGGGCTTGGGGGAAGGACCCTTGCGCTAAGCAGGGGCCCGCGGAGCTGGGTCTGCAGCCAGCTCGCCTGTCGCCCGGCAGCAAGGGAGCCCCCCCCCCCCCCGGAAAGGGGTGGCTGGTGGGACAAGCCACAGCGACAGCTCATGGCCAGCCCTGGAGGCTGCTTCCAGGCACGTCTTGTTGGAGGAGAGACTGCCTCTGAAAAACAGTCACCCCGCTGGCACGGGCACCTCTCCCCACAGACCTCCCGGAAAAAGCCGCCCTTTGAGGCCTGTGTCCATCAAGCAAGCTAAGCCCCTGTTTCTGCCCTTGCTGGTTATGGGGGTCGCACCCCTTGGCCACCGAGAATCCTGCTCAGATACCTGGCACGGCGTGCCGTTCAGCGCAAAGGATGCCCCTCTGGAGGGCTGGAAGCTTTTGTTTTGTTTGGGGCTGTCAAACAAAACAGCAAAAATTGGTGTCCCGGGAGTGTCGGTTCTGTGCCCCACGGCAGTCCACGCAGCCCCGTTTTTTGGGTTCTGCCTCCTGATGCCGTTCTTACAGGGGCTTGAGTTCTTCAGTTCTCAGCTGGACGCTGCCAGAAAAAGAACCGGAGCAGGCGTTCAAGCACAATACTGGCTGCAACTTTTATTTATGCAAACGGGGGAATATAAAATACAGAACAGCCGAGGCACGGCTGGTAGAGTTAAGCAAGTGGGCTTGGAAGGCTGGTCCGAGAAATCCAGGCGGTTCGATCATTTCCCCCTTCTCTGAAGTCTTGGAAAACTGCAGCACGCGAGTGAAAAGAGGCTCCTTGTATGTCGGGCAGAGTGAAACAGAGGCTTGTAACGACCGCAGGATGATGCAGCCTGGATGTTGTGTTTGCTTGTATTCAGAGGTCGGAAGTAGCGAAGATAGTGCTGCGGGTGTTCGTATGCATACCTGCGTGCTTGTGTATCAGTGCGGGTGCAGCCTGGCATCACCCAGCCAGACCAGTTGGTTCTGCTGGCCAGGGCGTCACCAGTACCACGCTCTCCTCCCCGAGAATGCCGCGTGAGGAGCCGTGCGGGGCAGGACCAGAGCCACGGGACTGGGAGGAGGCAGCCGGGACGGCGGTCCGTGCCCTCGTCTGTGCTCACGTGCCTCGAGCTGGGCTGCCCCTCTGGCAGGCCTCCGCACGGCGGTCCCCGTCCACTCGCCCCCCGCCGCAGCTTCCGTCGGCTCGCAAGCTGTGCCAGGCAGCCCTCGGCCCGATCGCTCTGGAGCCCGGCTGAGTTACACGGAGCTTTTGCCCACGCGAGGGAGTTCAGGGTCTCTTTTATGCTTTTGGTCGTCGGTTTTGTAAAACCTGTGCAAAGCCATCTTTGCCGCAGCGGGAGCTGCTTGTGGCCAGGCCAGGTCAGCCTTCCCGGAGCAAAAGCAGCCGGGATCTTGGTGCGCACGCGGCGTTTCCTCCAAGTTTGCCACCTGCTGGTGGTTTTATCAGACAGCCTCGCTTGTGAAAGTGGAGCCGCTCGCTTCAAGAGTGTTTCTGAGGCCAACGCTGGGGGGCCCACGCCTGCCAAGACGCACGCCGGGCCGGTGGCAAAGTGGGGGCGTCCCCGAGGCCCCGCAGCGCGTCGGTGCGGCTACTCGGTGAACCCAAAGAGGCGTGTGGGAACCGGGCAAATGCGGGCTGCAGAGTGGCAGGCGAGGTGGGGCTCTCCCCCAGGTAGAGCGCTGCTGGCCACTGTGGCCCGGGGCCCCGGGGGGTGGGGGGAGGTGGGTCCACACCAGCTTGCTACGCTCTGCGGCAAAGGAGTCTGGCCTGGTCCCACTTCCAGAGATGTTTATTGAAGCGGAGAGGGGTGCCAAACCGTTCCGTATATACATCAAAAAGAAGAAAAGCAGGGGAGGTTTTAACTGGAAGGTGTGAAAAGCCGAAGCGGAGAGGAGCGGCGGACTGGGTGGGGGTCGCCCTGCCTTTGCCTGCTGCAGCCGTGGATGCGCAGCGACCCGCTGGCGGACTGGATCGCGCTTTGAGCGGGACGCAGCCTCTGCCCGGCCCCGGAGAGCGGAGGGCCGCTGCGCCAAGAGCCTGCTGGCCCGAGGGAGCACCGGGGCAGGGTGGGAAGAGCCGAAGGCGCCTGGCTGGCCCCAGGGGAGCCTCCTCCGGGGTCCCTCCTGTGCCCGGTGGCAGGAAGACCCGCAGCTGCGGTTTGGCTCTCGGGGCAGAGCGAGCCCCCTCGGCTGCGCAGGGCACACGTCCCGGGAAGGCCCGAGGAGGGTGCGCTCGGCGGCCAAGGGGGCTCGGCGGCCACAGTCCACCTGCTCTCCCTCCCTCCCTCCCTCCCTCCCTCCTATAATCCTCATTGCTTCACACCACGGGGGACGGCGAGGAATGGCCCGAAGAAGAACCGCGGTACACAACCACTCTGACTATATACAAGAGAGTTCCTGGCATCCCAGCGCTGCGAGCAGAACCCCGGGGCTTGCGACCCGCCCCGGCCGTTCTCATTTGCGCTTCCTCAGTATTAGGTACATGATGCCGCTGAGCAAGGTGAACGCGAAGGCGACCCAGGCCAGGACGTAGGAGTAGCCGAACTGGCCCGTGGTCACAGTCAGGAACTCCTGCGGGCCTTTGTGCAGCTCCTCCTGCCGGTCGGTGTAGACGGAGGCCGCGATCATGACGCACAGGCCTGCGGAGAGAGCGCCGGGCACCGTCACAAGCCTTGTGAGTGGTGGGGCTGGGAGGAGGGAGGGGGTCCCCAGCCCCAGTGGCGGCGCCTGCGGGGCCCCGGGATCGCCACACCCCTTGCCCGGCCTTTGCCCCGCCACAGGCGGCCGTTCCTGGCTTGTGCGCAGCACCCTGTGGTGCCAAAGCACAAGGAAGGGGCCGGGTCTGCCCTCGGAGGGGGCCAGGGCCAGACAGACGGCCGTGGGCCTGCCGAGCACGACCTGGGGGGGGCAGCCTTTCAGGACTGCACCAAAGCCGGAAAGGCACATTCAGGAGGAAGGGAGAGCCAAGGAAGGAGCTCTTCCCCTGAGGGGACCACGCTGGCGGCAACACACCGGAGGGCCTTTCCGCCAGCAGCCCCCACTGCAGAGCGGAGGCGTGCCCTGCGGCCCTTTGGGTGCCTCTGCGGCAAGGCACGGAATCGCTCCCCAGGGCAGCATATGGCGCCTTCGTGCTGCCTCTCCAGCCACTTGCCTGAGCCACTCGGAATTTCTAGTTTTCACAGTGCGATTCCGTGCCTTCACTGCATTTGAATTTTGTGCAGTGTTCGATTGTTTCTCGAAATTGCCGTTAGCCACTCGCAGACCCCGGTATGGCGCCACGCAGAGGCAAAACGACTCTGAATCGGGACCGCGTAGGACCAGGTCCAGCCCCCAGGCCTGAGCCCCCCCCCCCATGGTAAAACCCGCTTCTGGGCGTCCTTCACGAGACGGTACTCACAGGACAGGAGCTGGATGATGGACGTCAGAATGAACCTCTCCCCTTGCTTCAGGCGGAAAAGTTGGAAGAGGAAGACGAAGAAGGCCACGCAGCAGAGAATGGTGGACAAGACCATTGTCGCCTGGATGGCCTGGAAGGCTGAGAAGTCTGGAGAAGGGGCAGCAGCCGGTTCAGGGCCAGTCCACGCCTCGGGGTGCCAGCACAGCCCAGGGGAAGGCCGCTTCTCACCCGGAGGGGGGCACTTGGGAATCCGAGAAGCCGCCCTGAGCACCAGCACAACGTGGCTCCCACGGGGGGCGTGGGAGGGGCACGGAAACTACCCCACGTCTTGAGTCTGAGGCCGGAAGCTGGACAACTGCCTTGGACCCAGAGTTCCCAGGCGTGGGAAGCCCTTCCACTCGAAACCCGGCAGTGCAGCAGCAGCAGCGGGGGGATACCGTGAGGGGGGTCAGGAGCTCCCGGCAGAGGCCGAGAAAGGTGCCTGCCCCTTGCGGTGAGAGGGAAGCCAGTGCCCACTGCCCCCTGGTGCCGTTTGGGGGAGCCCACCAGAGCCCTGGCCGCAGGAGCCGGCAGTGAGCACACCTGCCCCCCGGGGTCCACGGCCGCCCTAGCGAAATGGGTCGCCGTGTTGTGCGAACCCCATCCACACCTTTTCGGGGAACGTGCCGCGCACCACCCCGGCGGACCACCCGCGTGAGGCCGCCTGCGGCGCCGCCTGCCCTCGGCCGCTCGCTCCCTGCACCGCGTCACTTTTTTCCACCCGCTTTTCCGCCTTGAGACCCAACTGCATCCTGCCAGCGGTTTCCTCTGCCCATTTTCGTGCAGGACGGCAATAAAAAAAGCCTCAGCTCCTTGCCAATTCTCCAGAATCCATTTCCTCCCCCAAACTGCGGCTTCCGCAGAGAGGAACTCCTTGGGCCCAGGCGGCAGGGGAGGCCGCAGCAGGCAGGGACGGCCCGGGGTGCAGGCTGCAGCCCTCAGCTCGCTTCCCCACCAAATCCCTCCGAAGCAGCGTGTGGGGGGGAGATAAGATGCCGACGGAGCGGGAGCAGACCACGAAGACCCCTGTACCTCTCCCCACCAAAAGCAGCAGTGCGCACAAGCTGTGAAAAAGCGTGCCGGAAAGGACCAGAAGGTGGAGGGCGGGGGACTTCCGCTTCTCCACACCTTTTTGCCAAAGCAAATAAATGGCTGGGGACTCTGGGACTTCCTCTGCAAGGCGACAGAAATCCCACCCCCTTTCTGCAGAAGTGCTGGCGGCCGTAAAGGGGGCGCCAGGCGATGGAAAGGGGAAATGGGCCAGGCTTTGGCCACGAGAGTGCGGCCCCCCAGGAGCTGGCAGTCTTCCCGGCCAGGTATGTTCGCGTCCCGCTTCGGCTGCCCAGGACCAACACCAGGGGGCGCTGTCGGCCCGAGGCATCTGCCTTCCCTAACGGCCCCCCCTCCGGGACTGTCGGCCCCACGTCCCATCACCCCGACCCAGGCGGAGCGCGGGACTCACCCGGGAAGGTCTCGTCGAGCGCGGTGCAGTTGGAGACGTTGCTGCAGCGATACCAAACATCCGTGTAGAAGCCGCCCGCGACCCACCAGGCCTGCAGGAAGAGCACGTGGGGTGAGGGGCCCTCAGCCTGGGGGGCCGGGGGCCTCCCAGCGAATAGCTCACGGGAGCACCTCCGCAGGGGGCCTTCGGCTTGCTCAAGGCAGCGTGGCCGGCCGGGGCTCGCTGGCTCCCAGGCCGGGGCCGGCCCGCTGGGGCCGCGGCTGGAGAAACCCTTTGGGAGCCCGAGCACCACCGGTGCAGGCGCTCCGAGGAGGCGAGCGTTTCGGTCGCCCGGCCACTGCCTTCCGCTTGGTCTCGGGACCGGGACCGGGCCTTCGGCAACATCGGACGTGGCACGCCGGGGGCTCGAGCGCTTCGGCACCCCCCTCCCACTGCAGCGAGGGCACCCCCGGGGGAGGGTGGGCGCAGCCGGGCGCTGCTCTGCCGCAGGTGAGCCGAGTGAGCAGCAGGTGGGGGGAGCTGGCAGTGGCCCAGGAGGGTGCTCCCCCCCCCCGAGGGCCTGCTTCACGCTGGGGTCATGTCCCGGCGGTGGCCCGGGCCGGATTCCCAAAGATCCCAGCCCGGTTTGGTTCAAAGCTCTTCCTGGGAGCAGGTAAGACCGGAAGGCTTCTCGGTGGGGAGGCGCTCGGGGCGATGCCGAAGGCTGGGAACACACCTGCCGACCAACGGTCCAGGGGAAAGGGGATTGGCATCTGAGGAATTAGGGGGCCGGAAGGGGGGGCGGATCTCAGCCGCAAGCCCGAGATCCCCTGCTCTGGCATCAGACAAACTCGCAGTGGCTACTGCCCCGGAAGGGCAGTGGCAGCTAAAAGGAGCCTCCCTGGGTAGCAGCAGTCTACCCTGGCTGGGTACCAGTGCCTGGGAAGACGCAACGAGGAAATGCCACTGCTTTCCCTCCCCCGTTTGAGTTTCCTGTGGAAAAGCGGCTGCTGGACAGCGAGAGCCTTCGAGCCCAGAGCACCCCTCCGAAGAATCCGTTTGAAGTTGCCAAATCGCTCAGTTTTTAACAGCCCAGAAGCTTTTTAACTGGGCCAGGAGGTCACTCATAAATGTATAAATTGCAGGACTGGTGGATTAATTAAGGAACGATCCTGTGTCCCCAGGCAGGGGTTATTTAGGGTTCCCAGCTCCGAGGTGGGAGACACTCTGACCTTGGTGCGGAGCATCAGAGCGCTCCCCCCGCCCCGCCACCCAGCCCATTTGCCGCCAGCATGGAAAGGACGGCACAGCTCCTCTCCGAAGCTGGGAAAGCGACCTCAGAAGGGGGAGAGGGGGCACTTCTGGAGGTGGACCGGATGTGTGATATCCTGCCGTCGCTCCAGCATCCTTCCCCTGCCTTCCAAGATGCTGCGGCGAGCCAGGCCCAAAAGCCCCCTCAGCAAAAACGTGGGGTGGGAAGACGGGCTCCCCGCCTCCCTCTGCGCAGGGTGCTGCCAGCTCTGACTCGGGGGGCCTCCCGGCGTGGTCACCGGCCAGGGCAGGAAGCCCCCCTTCCTGGGAGCCGGCCCGCCATTCCGTTGGTGGGACTCCCAGAGGAGACCCGGCCAGGAGCATCTTCAGGGCTGGGCAGGCGTGTGCGGAAGACGCTTCCAGTCCCCTGCTCAACCCACACGGGCCGTGAATCCCACTTGGAAAGGCACCGCCTCCCACGACCGCATCGGCCAGTCCCTACGGGGCGTCCCTCTGGCCTTTTCGTGTCCCCGTCCGACCAGATGCCCACGGGCTTCCCGGCACCCGGCAGACCCACCGCCCCGTTCCTTGCGCTCCTCAAAACCCTTGCATCGCGGGCGCTGGGGGGGAACTTACGCTGTCGATCGTGGCGATGAACAAGAGTGCCGCCGAGGTTATGTGGAAGACGATGATGAACGCCAGGAGGATCAGCATCCTTGCGGGGCACGGGCTGCCTCGGGAGAGGGCAGAGCTGTTCGGACACAAAGCGGGAGGCGGTCAGGGCTCTGCCAACGGGTGCTGGGGGTGCCGTTGCGGCAACAGCCGCTGCGGGGCACGTCCACCTGTGCCCCAAGGCGTTCCTGCTCTCCCGCAGGCTGGCCCTTCCGCTGTGCCTCAGACGTGCCATTCTGGCACACGGAGGCCCCAGACCAGGTGCTTGGGAACCCCTGTGCAGGGGGGCCCTCCGCTTCCCGTCCTGGATGGGCCTGGTGGCCCCTCTAGCCGAAGCGTCCCAGACGAGGGGGGAAAGAAGCGGAACCGGGACGGCACCTGCTTTCCCTCCTCCAGATCCACTCTCCTGACCTACCACGGACGCAGTTCCTCCCACGCTGGCCATGGGGGTCCCCCCCCCGAGCTTGCCTTCTAGAGGGGCATTCAGAGGTTAAACCCATTGCAAGATACAGCCACCCATCACCCCCACCAACCAACCCAAGTGGCATCAGCTGCCCCTCACAGAAAGATGGGATCTATAGTTGTTCAGTATTAATTCCCCATCACAGGCAACCCAGTTGTTCCGTCTTCCCTTGACAAATCTGTGAAGATCGTCAGGACCCTGGCCCTTGAGTTCAGCAGGAGCCCCTGGACAGTTCTGGGGCTCCCCCTCTGGTGCTAAACGAGGAGTCCTCCTTAGCTAACCTTCCCATTTCTGCATCTGGCTTATGCCTTTAACAAGTGGGAGATCCCTTCAGGCACAGATGTTCAATCACAGCAAAGGCGATTATTCAGGTGGTATTCATCAGATCTGCTCACAATATCCCCTCTCTGCAAAGTCCTAGGCTGGCAAATGGTTTTTTGGCTGCACCTGTGATTTCCAGCTGTGATTTCTGTGGTGCAAGGAGGCTTTTAAAAAAGGAAACTTGAGGGTTAAAGGATCCAAATTATATTCTGCCGTTTCATGCACACCTGCAACACAACATCAAACAACTTGAAGAAATTCAGGCTGAAGTCTCACAGGGCAAGCACAACTGAGTTAGCGTTGTTAAAAGTGCTCTTTAGATGCCCTGAAATTGAGTGTGTGCGGCTTTATCTGGTAATCATCTCTTGCTTCCCCCCCCCCCACCCCTTTTTGCTTCAACAATCCCTCCAGTCACTGCTGCAGGTCTTTTCGCAGGGCAGGCAGCATCAGCGGCACTGGCCACGGCCCAACCCAGACGGCGAGGCTTTTCCCGGGGAATCGCACAGGGCCGGGAGCCCCGTCACGGGTAAGAGCGTCCCGGGCTAGCGGCATTTCGGTCACCACCTTCGGCCACAAAGCCTCCCAGAACGGCTTGCAAAGATGGCGGAGGAGACGGGCCCTGCCCACAGGGGCACAACCCAAAAGGCACAACACCAAAGGAAGAGGGCGGGGAGGGAAGAGGAAAGCGAGCAGCAGAGCCCGGACGCTCGCTGGCCAGGCTGTGCAAGCCGTGGATCCCACAGCGCAGAGGGGCGGCTGCCACGTCCTCTGCCGGGAATGAGGACCCCCATTTCGCGCTTTCGGACCCACCGCTCGTTCTTGGAAAGAGGTCTTCCTCCTCCAGTGTATGTCCAGCAAACCACAACCAGCACAGAAAGGGGCTCTGAGCATGCACAGAGTGGCTTGCCCAGCCCAGACTAGGAGCGGCTTCCAGGAGCCCTCCTTTTGGACCCCACCCCCCAGTGGGCGGCCCTGCTCCCCCAGTTCTGCGCCACGCGGTCCGGCGAGGGGCCTCGAGGCGGCCGCTTCGGTCATCAGGCTGAGCCCTCTTTCTCCTCCCAATGCTCTAAGACTTGGCTGTTTTGCTAATCAATAGCTTGACTGTCAATTGGAAATTTCTATCAGGATGAGGAGTTTGTTTTATTTTGTCTTACTGTTAAAGCGTTCCAAGGCCAGACTAAGAGACAGGCTAAAAAAAGGTTTAAATGAATAAATAAACGATGAGCGGAACGTTGCGGAAGGCAGGGTGGCCGTCCCTGGGCCGCCTCCCCCCGGTGTGCCCGCTGGAGGACCCTCCATTGGGGGGGGGAACGGGTGGCCCCCTTTGCCCAGCCAGCAGCTGGCACACGCCACGCTCTCATGACCTTGAATGGCGTGGCATCCGTGGAATGGCCTTCCGGAGGCACCCACGGGCCGCCGGGCGACCCCTCCGGCAGCAGAGCACACGGCCGCATTGCAGGCCCCGAGCAGCGGCTGTGGGAGACCTGCGCAAGGGCCCTCGCCGCTTCCCTCGGCTTGTCCCAAATGCCGGATCGCCCCCGATCGCCCGCCCCCTGGCCCAGAAGGCTCCGTCCTGGTCCGGGTCCTGGTGCCGGAGAGCTCAGCCTGGAGAGCCGGCAGGCCTCCCCTCTCCTCGCAGCTTGGTCTGAGGGGCTGGCGCAGCTCTGCAAGCCCACGGCAACCTCCCTGTAAGGGGGCTGCCCCGAGGCGAAGCGGCGTTTCCGCCTGCGTTCGGGCAGCTCCGTCGTCCCTGCCGAAGGACCCCCTCCGTGAGCCGGGCCAGAGACCGGCCCGTCCGCCATCCGGTTTCCAGTGGCCGGGCAGCCAAGCGGCGTCGGAGTGCCTGCAGGCTATGATTTACCAAGCGAAACAACGCCAGCGCAAACAGCAGAAGGAATGCAAGTTGGAAGGAGCCGCACAGGCCCTTCCCAGACTCTGACGGGTCCGTCCTGAATCCGTTCGGAGCGCAGCGCTTCCAGGCGGCTGTCCGGGCCCTGGCTGAGGAGGGAGGAGGAGCCCCAAGGGGGCCTGCGGAGGGGGGGCCCGTGCCGCCCTGGCCTCGGGAAGCATCAGCCTTCAAGCAGCAGAGCGCACCCTGATTCCAGCCTGGTCGCCTGGCTTCCTCCAAGGCCGCTTTTCGGTATTTCTCAGTGTGTTCATCTCATTTCTCTGCCAGCCGACAGCTGGAGTCCCCGAGCGGCTCACAAGGCTCACACCGGGGTTTTCTTGGGCAAAGCCCACGCCAGCGGCCAGCGAGGAAGCGCTTCCGGGTCCTTCCGCAGAAGGCTCCTCCTGGGGCCGCGCTCTGCCTGGGAAACCCCCACCCCGTCCCCAGCCGGGTCCGGGTCCCTTGCCAGATGGCTTGGGCCTGCTGGTGTGCGCCCAGCCTCTGGGGAAGCCTCCCCCCCCAACCCAGCAGCTCCCGGATATTCTGGTTATGATCCACAAGGAATCATAACTGAAAAAACACAGGGCCGAATGCGGCCGAGCAGACGCAGCGCCGTCAAGACCTCAAGGCAGAGCTGAAGGGCTGAGTGGTGCGCTGGACTACAGTTTACATCACCCCCACCCAGCATGGTCGTTGGCTGTGGCAGGAGCTCCAGGCGAGGCGGGAGGGTCCGGGCAGGGGGCCTCGGTCTGCCCTGGGCCCCGTCACCTCCCTGGGAGCCCCCAGATGCTTGGAGGGCTCTCTTCAAAGCTGGCTCCTGCTACATTTCCGAATATTTTCGACTGTGATGGCCAAATAAATATGAAGCAAGGTGGGGCCCGGAGGGGGCGGCGTCGCTCTTTGAAGCACCTCTTCAAAAGCTCGGCTCCGCCGGCCGCTGGGGCAGCGCTTTGCAACCAGTGCTCTGGAAGCTCTCCGAGGTTCCTTGGAATTTGGCCATAAGGAAGGAGAAGCACCCAAAATGAACCAAAGCAAATGTTTACAGGAAAAGGGAGGGCGCCTTCGGTGGAGAGCCCTCCGCACCGCGAAGGGCGGCCAAGCAAGCGGCTGCCGGCTGCCAGCCGCAACCTGCTCTACCTGCTCGGCTGCTTTTCCCCATGTGGGGAGGCCAGTCGAGGCACGATTCCCTCGCAGCCCGATGTGGTGCAGTCTGCTCTCCCAGCTTGGACTCTACCACAATTCTGCGGCACTGTTGCCAAGGGTCTCCGGGAGTTTAGGGCATGGTCCTGCGGCCACCGGGTGCCTCGGAGGCCCAGCTCTGTCCTGGCCGACCGTACGGGGGGAGCGGTGCCTGACAGGGTCTCGCAGCGTGGAGGGCTGCTGCTCGTGGCGCCCGCCCGCCCGCCCGCCCACCCACCCCTTTGCTCATGACTCCATTCCGTTCTTCCCGCAAGAGCCTGGGCTGTTGGTTCCCACTCCATGACTGGGTATTTTGCTCCCCTCGAGAGTTGCTCTGTATTCCTGCAAGCCTTGGAGGCCTGCCCATCCTGCCTGCGGATATCCTCCCTTGGCACGGATGGCACCGGTCCCACAACCTAAGGACTGGAGCTGGAAGGGACTTCAGGCCTGCGTGCCCATGTCTGCACTGCCCCACACTCAGGCCGGTGGGTGCCAGGAATGCCAAGCTCGGCAGGACTACCAAAGCGCCTCACAACGCCGGCCCCGCGAGAGCCTCCACCCACTCGGGAGAAGTTGCGGGACACCCGCCCTATGAAGTAGGCTGCGAGGTTCCCTCGCTCCCATTTTACAGATGGGAAATTTGAGTCCCAGCCGAAGTGGCCGTTGCCCAGAGCCATCCAGCAAGCCCCTCGGCCGCATCCGAAGACCAAGCCATGCTCGCTGAACACTGGGAGCAGCAATGTTTGGGGCCATGAGCACCATCGGCCGTCTGAAAAACTCCTGGGCACCAGCACAAGATGGCTGCAGCAGACACACGCCTGGACCTGAATTCACGCAAAGGCAGGCCACGCTCCCCAACACCCGGACGGCAGCTCTGAACCCGCAGCGCTCGGCACCAGCGGGACCCCATGCCTGAGCCAGCCAGCGTAAGGCAGCCCTCTCACGGGCGGGGGCCGCGACAGCCTCTCCCGCCCAAGGAAGCGCATCGCCACGCACGGCCAGGACGCCTCCGTCCCGAAGGCCGCTGCCCTCGCTGCCAGTGCTTGCTCCGCTCCGGCCGTCGCGGGCCGTCTTGCAGCTGCCCCGGACCGGCAAACCCGGCGTGTGGGGAGGCCGGGCATCGCGTGCCGGGGAGCCGTGGGCACGACTCGCAAGGGTGAAGGCGCTCTGCCCCCATGGCCCAGGCGGGCGGCCCCCGCAGCAGCTCTGCAGTTGGGTCCCTCACCCCCCCCCGCTGCAAGCCCCTCCCACTGAGCACTGGCCCCTCCCTCTGCCAAAGCCCTGCCAGGCCCGTCTAAGAACAATTGCGGCAGGGAGGGGCAGCACTGTGAACTCGCCACCGCACGGAGGGACTGTACCAGGAAGCCCCAGCCTGCTCCCATTAATGGCTGGGACCGTTCGCCTCCAGGCCGAAATACCAAAGGCGCTTTCGTTTTTGCGTTGCGAGCACAACAAATACATGCACAGCTCAGTGAACTTGTGTGGGAATGCGGAGAACAGCATCTTGCTGACTCTCGGCGTTCCCAAGTGCATCTCGCCGCCTCTTGGCTTACTCGGCAGGTCGGGTTGGTTCGTCTAAAAAGGGCACATGAACTGTGAAACGCACAAAGCCTCGTGAAATGCGTTTCTTCCAAAATTCCTCACCAGGCCCAAATGGCTGGCGTGGGCGCCCACCTGTGCCAAGCATTTGAAAGGAATATTTCAAATTGGGGGGGGGGCGGTTGTGTTGTGGAGCTGGACCTGCGGAACCAGTTGTAGGGAAAGTGCCGTGAGCATCATGTGCACAAAATCGCCGTCTTTAAAATATATTATACAAAATGGGCGTTTGACGGACGGGGCTGCCAGCCCTTGCCTCCCCCTGGGCAGTTTTCACGGGAGGTGCCGGGTTCTATTCCCTGCCTTTTCTTTGCTGATTTTGCAGCTGCCCAATAACCAACACTGTGAATAACACGTGGAAAAGGAAGTACAGGAAACGACATCGGAACTGGCGAACGCGTGAAACCGTCCAAGTTAAAGCCGAGCCAAAGCGAGCGCCCGAGCCCGGAACCGCGGCATCGCCAGCCCGCTCCAAAGCGCGCGTCTGCGCCCGGCGAGCCTCTCCCGGGAGGGCGCCCCCCCGCGCCCCGCAGGCGGCGCCCCCGCAGAGAAGGCCCCCGGGCCGCGGTCGCGACGCCGTGCAGGTGCGCGCGAACCCGAACCTGCGCGCGCCGCGCGGGAGCTCTGCCCGCGTGCGGCGCCCCGTGGAGCGGGAGGGCGCCGCGCTGCGCCCCCCCCCCCCCC